ACGTGGCGAGCTTCTAAAGCAACTACCTATCAAACTGAAACTCAGACTAAATAGTAATCTCACTCGGCCACATGCAAGGCCAAACCACAAAGGTAAGTATTCTCACTTGCCCAAAGTTACTCTTGTCAAGCAATAGTTCGTAGTCTTTCAATTATTTATCCCTTATACCCAGGTTACATAAGGCGTAAAGCTAGACCACCCAAACTTATGGAACAATGTCTAGCTCAACCATTGAGTATACACAAACAGAGGACACTGCAACTTTTTCTCTTCCTTGGGCATATGACTAGGTTGTCCATCCTAGTTGCCCTGGACTGTTTAAGTATCCAAGTTATATGTAATTCTCTGCACTTTAATCTTTTGAGGTAGCATATGACCGAACCGATCGTCTTAGCTCGAGGGTCAGTGCCCCTTCTTACCACAAGTTTATTCTTAATTAATATTCTCTTCTGTTTGTGTTAAACCACCAGTACCTCCGAGCCTGTTGTTGCCGACCCTGATTTTCACTGCGCTCCGAGTTTTGTCGAGCCTGGGTCCCACTCCATTTCTTTATGGTACTCTCACAGGAAGAACAAAAAAAAAAAAAAAAAAAAAGTTGCGGCCATGAAAACTCAGAAAACAAGAAAAGAAAACAAAGCTTTGGGCGTGATTGCAGCTGTATACATTCTCGGAAGTGTAAGTGTGAGTGTGCCCTCAGTGAGGGCATCTCAGCCCCGTGGCCAGGTTGTCAGACTTCAGAAACTCAAAAAAAAAAAAAACGGACAAACATGGATTCGCCCGTGAAAATGGCAAGATACATTCTCGTAAGTGCCAGTGTGATCAGGGTTACAATCCTTTGAGGGAACACAGCTCGAGCAGATCACGGATTGAGATTGTTAGAGTCCAGAAAAAGAAAACAAGAAAAAAAAAATGAAAACATGGATTCGACCTTGAAAACGGCTGGATACATCAGTGTTACAATCATCTGAGGAAACAACACTAGAGCAGATCACGGATTCCGCCCTGCCTCGTTGGTAGGGTACTCATAACAAACAAATACAAAAGAAAAAAAGAAAACAACAAGTTTGAGAACGTGACCGTCTTTGCTGTAAGATGCATGCAAGACTGTGAGGCTGTGTGAGCACGGTCTCCTAGACGTCCCTGCCCGACATCATTGCAGTACAAAGGCCCGTTTTTTTTCCTTTCCCTTTCGTGCACGGGCAAAAAAAAAATACAACTTTTGGGACATTGCCGACCCTCTGTCCGACCCCCGAAAAGTTCGGGTACTGGCCAGTATCACGTAATTTCCCAACACTGGGGAAGGAACTGGTGGTTTAAGATATAGTCAGACCACCCAAACTTATAGGACAATGTCTGACCAGCCTGTTCATAAGTAGAATAGTAATAAAATATAGCCAAGTTATAACCTTCTGGTTCCAACATGTGCGTGGCATTGGACCAAGACCACCCAAACTTATGGAACATGTCTGGTCCTCTGCCTGATTTATTTTCTTAATGGTAAAGCAGGAAGAGGTTGAGCCACCCAAACTTATGGAACATGCTTAGACCCCTTCGTCCACAACCAAAAGAAACTGAGAAAACCCAAAATAAACAAGGCAACCAAGCCACCCAAACTTGCTTGGTCCCCAAAAAGTCATCCACAGACAACCCTCGCAAGTCAGAGCAACCATACCACCCAAACTTATGGAACTTGTCTGGTCCCCCAGGCAACTAAAAAATAAACATAGCACTGGGCCTCCCCAAACTTATGGAGACATGCCCAGCCTTTGATGGACCCAGTCAGACACAAGCAATACTGCCTTCCTCCCATCCTTCCCCCAGATGCAATCCCACAATCTGCTTTCAGTCAGACAATAAAACTGAAACTGATATTATGCATGCATTCCTTTAGTTAAGTCTGAATCATGTCCTGAAAGTCAAAACTAAAAGTCAACTTAGTGGTGCACACAATATACTCAGTCAAAACGTAACAAGGAATACAGATAGGGGTTATAACTGGGTTTATAGAATGAAAGTGAAAGCTTTACCCCCCCCGGGGATACAAGAGGGGGACAACTCAGCTCTTAGGAGAGGGCCTTGAAACCTTTCATCGCCTGAGGGCCCCGCAATGGCGCCCAAAAGGTAGCTGCAACTTGGACAAACTAAAGTCAAAACACCAATCGATGATTCTTTGACGATCCTCCCACTCGCAGCAACGATCCCCCCCTTGTTGGAGAGCTTGATCACCACTCCTAGTCGTAGTCGTCATCTCCTTGTGGACTTGATACTCCCTTTTGAAGCCGCAATGCCTTCTCTCCAATCAGACTGCTATCATCCCGCTTAGAAATGCTCCACTAAAATAGAGCACATTCCTATGCTCTTATTCAATGTGCAGATGAATCATAGCGGAGCTTAACATAACCTGGCATGTATCCACTACGCACAATGTATTGCAACCGTTTATATCACTAAGTCCGACCATTGCCGCTCTACACTTTCAACAATGCACAATGCAAATCATAATGAAGTCATCGGTGCGGCAGCGACATGCACCACAAGGCGTAATAGGCTCCATCAATCACACAATACCGACACACAGAACACAGCCACGCGTAGCCGCAAGATACCCGACAAAAGTTTGCCAAACCGGTGTGCGCGCAACAACTCAGCAACGTGCAACGGCCGCGTACACGGCAAATGCACATACACACAGAACACCAAGCCTAGCGGTCCTTGACTCGAAGATCAGTGGCAACTCACATATCACATTAGTAGGGAGCCCTGCTCAATAGCGACGTAGCGAAGGCAAGCAGCAGTTGCAACAACCGTTCTCTAGTTGACCATAATAAGCAACAACGCCACTTGGACGTACAATCGGTCCCTCCGGGCTCAACTGCACCAGCCTAATGACGACCACAGATCGAATGAGTAGGACTTTGAACAGTAACGGGGAACTTGAGCTGGAGCCCCTAACGACAAAAGCCAACAAGTCTAACGTTGTCTAGAAAGCAGAAACATGCCCAGGCTACTACTATAGTGCTACTGGCAGCTTACGAACCGACAATGCATTCCGCTGACATCGGCAGCAGCACCCGAAGTACACGAAGATGTCGACCTTGTGGACCGCCGCTAAAACCAGGTATGTGCTCTTACATCAACACCCCGATCCTTCTTCCTCTACTCGCTCGCTCATGTGTACCTCCTCGCACGCCTACGCGGCGTGTTTGCCCCCTCTCTATCCCGTTCCCCCTCTCTCCACATCATGCATCTGGCTCCACTAGCAGTTGGGTTCGTGCAAGAGAGGGGGGGGAGCTTTCTACTAAGTCTTCACGCGAGTGGTACGTCACGCACTTGCATCAGGTAAGTCTCCAACCCGCGACTGGCCCCACGCTATGAATCTTCTGCCAGAATGCGGAGAGATTCACCGTGCGCTCGTGCAGAGGCTGCGCGGCATCAACCACCCCACCTGGTGAGCCGTCTCCTTCTCTCTCTCTCTCTCTCTCTCTGTTACTCCCTAGCTACCGCATCCAAGCACCTAGCCGAACTCCCGGCCAGTTTCATGCAACGCTTGTAAACATATGAACGACTCTTCTGCTAAAACGCAGAGAGATTCATCGTCACACCCCCATCTCGTGCAACAGTCACACAACCCCACTTCTACCATACAGAACGAGAATGAATCTTTCGCCAAGAAGTGGAAAGATACATCCAAAGATTACGGAATCGTTTCTCCCTTTCCCACGTGCAGCTCCCTTGCCCTGTGCCCCCGAACTTGCTACTCCACCGCGAAATCCGATATGGCCATCGGATTCGCAATGGTCCCGCACCTCCGTCTAGCCCCCTTTTGCCTTCGACTTTAACGCGAATCGAGCGAGACTTCCATCTTCTTGCTCGACCATTCCGCCATCCCCACGCACTATTTTCACTACTAACCTCCTCGTTCACTAACTTTCATACTAATCTGAATTCATATTCGGGGTCGCTGGCCCCGAAAACATTAGACATGAATCTTTATTTGCCCGTTTCTATCGAGAAACGGGCGCGACATCATTTCTTCTTCCTTCTGCCATGGCCGGCTTCCACCATCTCCCCGCACCTACTTTCCTAACTAACTCCTAATTTACTAACTTTCTCGTCTATCTGACTTCATATTCGGGGTCGCACGCCCTTAAGACCCCAATTTCGACTCTTCACTTGCCTGTTTTCGTTAAGAAACGGGCGAGATCCGCCTTTTTTGATGCCACCATATCCTGCATCCCGCCATCTCCGCCATCACAGTTGGTGAATGTATCCGGCGCAAATCAGCGCTAGATTCACCACGACCGTACTAGGCACAGACGGGCGTCCAACCCGCTTTTCCCCCTCTACGCCCGCTGCCTCATCTCCCTGTCGCTCGCCAGTGTCTTCCCTCACGATCGTCCTCCTCCACCTTCTCTACCTCCGCTTTGTGTCCGCCGTTCTGACTCCCGGGTCGCCCGGGTCCTGGGTGGCCGGCCCGTGCAAGGAAGGTCCCACCAAAAAAAAAAAAAAAAAAAAATCCAAAAACTTCGAAAAAAAAACTATGTTATGCAGAAAAATAAACTGAACAACTTTTGCCTCAGGGTCACATCGAAATTCTTCACCAAATTTAAAATAAAAAAGTAAATTCTAAAACTATATATATATATATTTTTTGGCCCGGCCGGGCAAGTGACCCCGGGCTACTCTGGTAGCCATTTTTTGTTATTTGTTTTTGCTGTTAGTGAATATGGTGTCCGCTCTATGAATTGGCTGACAAGTTTGGTTATAGAGCCCTTTGGGTTTTCTTATAAAAGGGATGACAAATTGTCTGAAAACTTGGGGAGGATAATTTTCGGTGCATCTTTTGGTGCATATCGTGCACTTGGGGGGCATTTGCAAATCCAGGCCGCATTTGTGGGGAGGATAATTTTGTAATTGTTAATTCTAGGCAGAGAGCATTCATGTACCCCTTAAACCACCAGTACTTGGGCGACGCCTTAGCGTTAACGCTACGGGAATTTCGCTACCGGCGGGCCGTCGATAAATCGTATCGACAGCCCGCGCCGCTTCAAAAAAGGTGCGGCCGGCGTGGCGCGCAGTGCCCAAGTACTGGTGGTTTAAGATCGCATGTTGCCCATTCGGCCGTTGTCACTCTCCATCGTTTCTGATTGCCATCTTTTTGGAAAGGAACTTCGAAGAAGAACAAAGAAAAAAGAAAAAAAGAAAAAAAGAAAAAAAGAAAAAAAAAGATCGCATGTTGCCCATTGGAAACCAAGTTGGTCTGGTCTGTACAACTGGGAAACAAAAGCTCAGGTCTTGTGGCATGTCCTTGTGCAGGACTTTTAGTCGCAGAAGATGAGATTCCAATTCGATCTCAATGGTCCCCCACCGGAGTGCACAGATGATGTTTATTCAGAGCCAGTGCAGCCTGTTGAGAGAGGCAGTGGCGCCAGCAGCGCTGGTATGCGCGATGAAGACACCTTTGGGGGCTGCCGATTATGCAAGAGAAATTGCAGTATTTGCGGGGAGGTTCGGGAACTGCCGGCAGATGTACTGGAAGCCTTGGAGCAGAAGATGCAGCAGGACGATATGGAATTTGTGTGTAGTATGGCTGGATACCAGTGCTATGACTATGTTGTCGATACTAAGGAGAAGAGGCAATCATCTGGCACGCCTGTTTTATCGAAAAGGCCTAAAGCAGAGCATCAGCCTCCAACTGTTCTCAAGCCTGTTAAAGTTGAGCAGACACAGAGCGATGACCGCAGCTGTAGGTATGGGTTTACTTCGAACAGCCACAACCGTGGAAGTGCAGTTCGGGTGATCTACATTGTCTTTCTGGTTTCTCATCCACTTCTTTCCTCCCATGATCAAAGGCATGGATCCCTACCACGCTAGAAATCCCTAAACGTCATTTTGCAGCCTTCTCCAGAATGGTTGTACCGGTCGTCGAAGGCCAAGGCCTATAATCCTCCCCCCTAACTCCCCCAGTTTGTGCGCCAGCCTGGGATGCGTTTGAGGCTGGTGAACTGAAAAACATCCGCCAGACCAGCACTGGCAGTCCCAGGGGAGCCACTTTTTGTTTCTTGGCTTCCCTGCCCTAGGCTGTCCCGAACCCCAAAACTTTTGGAGATATATGTCCTCACTGACTCAATTTGCCCAGGGTGTGTAGTGGTGGTTTAATCATTCACAAGCACTGCCAGTGAATATGGATGGTCAGATATTTGCACTGGGTGACTGCACTACACAACACATGGAGTGCCTTATGGTCCCGGCAAATCACCGATGCAGCCTGCATTGCCATAGCTGCCTTCTGTTTTTTCCTACCACATCTTTTCTCTTTTATGATTTTATCCTTTTGGACTAACAAGTGGACCCGGGGCGGCAACGCTGCACCCCAGCCCCTATCCTGCCTATACATGGCAGAATCAGACAGGCACACTTTGTGGACCTGATGGTGCGAACACACCATCCGGTCCACAAAGTGCGCCAGTTTGTTCTCCTGTGGCCCATTCCACCCCTGCCCCTCCTCTCCCGCCAGCCCATTCTACGCACCAGAAGTACTCAACATTCCAGGCTGTCCTTCAGCACTGTACTTCTGTTCAAATACGCTGTGAACAGCCCTCTCCAGGTTGCTATGTACTTGTATTCAAACATATTGCAAAGAGCGGCTGCGGCTGAGGAGGCCCGCCTGCGCCTGGATTTGCACTCGGGGGGCTTCAAATGAAAGAGAGGACAACAAAAAGAAGGGGAAGGCCACGCGTTGTATCTACATCGATCTCGTGGCCCGCATCTGGAATCGACCTTGGAGCCTCTGAAGAATATCGCAGGGTATGGTTCCACTTTTGAACACCGTGTCCTGGCTGTAGTGGTTACGATACTTGGCTTTGGAGACCGAGGTCCCGGTTCAAGTCCGTGCTTGCACGGAGGAAAGCTGAGGCCCAGAGGTACAGATCCAAAAACATTGGAAAGCTCTGTGAACTGGCGGTGTTGCATACCGTAAAGGTGCAGACCAGAACAAGAACCGACCTCTCTCACATAGTACAAGACAGCACAGCAGAAGGCTTAAATACCAATGATCCGAACAATCAATGTCGCAATGCAGCCCGAACATACATCATCATCATTCCATGGTGTGAAGGGGCCTGGCGCTCACACAGGAAAAATGCACCAGTCCCCAACCATACACAGACGAAGAAGAGGGAGGTTAGACGAAGAAGAGGGGAAGATGGGAATGTCGTCAACACCAAGTCTTCAGCACAGGTCCCAAATAATCCCTCGTCAAATGTCTGAATCCCAATGTCGAGTCTGGATCCAGTGTCGTCAAGTCCCAAAGTCACCAATCTCTCTCTCTCGTAGTCTGCAGGTACTGAGAAGTTAGGTAGCGAGAGGGTGAGGAGGAGATGGTGGACTTRGAAGAGGAAGAAGAAGATCTCTCTCTCTCTCTCTCTCTCAGTCCGGTACTAACCTGTGAAGGGGGCGCCTTGTTGCAGGTACATCGAAGACGAAGCTGGAACTATGGCGCCACAGGTAAGTCTCCCTGGCCTCCGCCAACCATCTCTCTCTCTCCAGTACAACTCTAGCTCCTAATAGCGCCCAGCGCTGAAGACTACTGCTAACGCTACTACTGCAGCGCTCCTCCAGAGTGCTGCTGCTGAATCCTGAAGAATGCCTCCTGCCTCCTGCACGTGAAGTGCCTGGGAAGCTCCTAGGAACTACCTCATGACTGTCTGCAGCCTGCAGGGCGGGCCAGTCTTATATAGTGCTGGCCCGTCCAGGAGGCTGCTCTTGCCAATGCCAAAACGTGCCAGACCCTGGTGTTGAAGTTCTAACAAAGGTTGTCTTGAAAACAGGCCAAAAATGGCCTGTGCTGAAAACCCTGGTCTGGACCCTAAGTGTCAGGGCAGGTCGACTTTATGAGGGCCCGAAAATGGCCCTCCGTTTCAGGCTGAAAAGACTCAGGGCCTGGAAGGCCCTGTTTTAGGCTGGAACGACATAGGGCCTGAAGGCCCTCGTTTTCAGGTTTTCAGGCTGAAACGACACAGGGCCTGTAAGCCCTTGTTTTCAGGCTTTTAGGCTGAAAACGACACGGGGCCTGTAGGCCCTTGTTTTAAGGCTTTTACGCTGGTCGGGCCCTGCAGGCCCGTGCGGCTGCGCAGTATGCCACAGGCGGGCAGCTAAAGTCCTGCATAAGTGAGCGGGCTATACTACCGATGGGGGTCATGTGCTATTTGGAGCGAAGTGTGCGGGGTTGCCAGCGTCCGTGTGGTGTTGTGTGTGGTGTGTGTTGAGTTTGGACACTACGGCCTCCCAGGGTTGGGGCGGATATCATGGCCGGCATGGTTCCGCTTTTGAACACCGTGTCCTGGCTGTAGTGGTTACGATACTTGGCTCTTGAGGCCGATGTCGCTGGTTCGAGCCCGTGCTTGCCCCCCCCGGAGGAGGGCTGAGGCCCAGAGGTACAGATCCAATAACACAATGTATATTTCTGAATTCCAGCGGAGGATTCAGTGTTCCAAAAAAAATGAAAAGGCCGAAACAAAGCTGTAGATTACTAGATTCTTTTTTTTTTTTTTTAATAACTATGCTCGGTATGCTGCAGATTCAAACTCGTGGTCGATCCAGCGGCCTAGCTCAGTTGGTAAGGCACGCAAGTGGCATTCAGGAGGTCTTGGGTTCAATCCCCATTGGCCTCATATACCTTCCTGGGCAAGCTTGGCGCCCGCCACCTAGAGATATGCCATTGGTCCCCCCGAGTGGCATTGAGCAGAGACTGCTGATGTTCACAGGGGGAGGGGACCGGAGGGGACGCACAATGACTGGCCCATCGAAGAAGCTCGGTCCTGACGCTACTGGCTGACTGCTGGCCGGTATCGCCCACCTGCTGTAGCAGGTATCGCACCTGCTGGTGGGTGCAGCTCCCGCATGTTCCCTCGTTGGAGGCTTGAGCACGGATGTGGCCGCTACGGGGTTCCCCGTAATACTATAATGACAATAAAAAAGGCCTGAAAGGCCGTCCTGTCCAGATTTGACAGGTAATTGAATTGGTTGGGCTTAAAGAAATAGACTTACAAAAAAAAACTCGTGGTCTCCATCTGGATTCAACCTTGGACCCTTTGACAGATGGCAATGATGGCAATGCATATTTCCATGTTCTGGAGTGGGATTCGGTCTTGTTTTGCAAATCTGGAGAGCGGTGGAGCGAGGCCCTTCCAATGAAATGACCTCCCTATGCGGAAAACGACAAAACAAATCTGAAAACCATGGCTACGATCCGGATGTCTGGACTGCCGTCCAGACGGTCTGGATTCAGTAACCGGACTCCAGAAGTCCGGTCTGGAAGGTCTGGATCTGCCAAATTTCGAGGAAAAAAAAAAACAAAACGGTCCAGGACCCTTCCCCATTGAAGAGCCAAGCCCCCAAAATCGTTTTGGGTTTTTTTCAGGCCCGTTTATGCTTTTTTGGGGGGTCCGAACATGCTCTCTCTCTATAATAATTTATTAGACAACCCCAATGTTTTAAGTATTAATGATTCATTACCTTTTAATAGGCTTTTATTAGTTTGTAAAGTCTTTTTGTAAGCTTTTTTATAGTTTTTGACTTTTAACTCAAGTTTGGTTAGGAATTCTGACATGACTCTGAGGCAAAAGTGGTTTGCATTGTTATTCTGCATAGCATACTTTTTTTTCAGAATTTTTTTTTTTTTTTTAATGGTCGGGACATTTCTGGACCGTCTGGATTCCCCATGTCAGGAGGTTCGGAAATGTCCGGAATTCCGGACGTCCGGAAACTACCGGACACGGGTCCGGTTCCATGTTCGGAAATGTCGGGGTCGGGGTCCGGGTCCGGCATAGCCATGCTGAAAACCGACAAAAGAGGTTTGAAATTTGAACGACAAAAGCTGCCCGGCCACGCGGTACATCCGCAAGACAAAGAATATGGCAATGTATATCTCCATGTTCCAGTGGAGAACTCAGTCACACGAGGCCCTTCCAATGAAAAGACCAAAAGCTGCCAGGCCACGCGGTGCATCCCTATCTTTCCATGTTCCAGCGGAGGATTTGGTCTCATGTGGCCCTTCCAATGAAACAACCTCCAAGCGAGAAACGACGAAAAGACAATAAAGGTGGCCCAGAGCTGGCTCGCGTTCATCGCCTCCCGTTTTCCTCCTCGGTCTCCTGTGGCACCGCGTGCGGAACTCCACACCCGGTTTTTCCTGGGCCCGAGGGGAGCGCCATGGGAGGACCGCTTCATATTTTAAGATATATATATATTTGTGACGATACAGCCTCCTGATGAGTCGGTGAAACTCCGACGAAACAGTTTGTCACAGCCCCTCGTTTGTTGTCCTCTTCTCCCTCTCTGCCTACGGTTTACCGGGCAGTTCTATTTGACGATATATATGTCCTCTTCTCTCTCTCTGCCTACGGTTTACCGGGCAGTTCTGTTTGTGACGATATACTCTGCCTACGGTTTACCGGGCAGTTCTATTTGTGACGATATATATATATATATATATATACCGGGCAGTTCTGTTTGTGACGATATATGTATATATAAGAGAAGGTGGGGCTGGCCTCCTCTGCTCAAGTTCTGCTTTTCCTTGGATATGCTGCCGCAAAGTGTAGCAGAAGAGTTTCCGTGGTACATGAAAAGGAGAGGAGTCTGGTTAAAATGGTTATTGTACTCCGGCTCGATTTGTGTGCTCTTGCATTAGCCGAAGCCAGGGATTGGCCCAGTGCCGTTACAAAAGAAAAAAGAAAAAAGAAATAAA